AGCAGCAGCAGCAGCAGCAACAACGCAGCAGCAGCAGCAGCAGCTTGGACTCGTGCGTAAACTAGCAAGCAGGTGATTGAGCTGGCCTTATACTATGTACGTAGTAGTGCTGAAGAAAAGGATAGTAACATTGATATTAAAGCGTTGCTGCTCGTCAATCTGCAGTGCTGCTCGTCAGTTTTAGGTAACTCCTCCCACCAGTTCTACTACTCACGAGAATGATACAGTGGCATTGGCGCGTTGGTCAATGCCCTGATGTAGTACAAGCCGCATCCGAATATCAGTGCTAACGAGAATGTCAACGAAATTTCGACATGACAGGTCCTGAAACTCTTTCTCACTCTGGCGATGGTGATGTATGATGATGGTGATGACGATACTTGTCCACGTTACCTGCTGGTGCTCGTGCTTGTGCTCCTATGTACTACTCTGTGCTACTATGTGCCAGTACTGGTGTTGTGGCAATTTCGTCTCATGCCTCTGTGCCCTGAGCCAGGCAATCTGAGAACGACGCTTCTGCTCGCCTCCGCTTTCTCCGCCGCTGACATTCTCAGATTTCAGGCCACACCTTCAGTCTAAGATGTCGACTTGCACACACTCTCACCGAGGAAGTACTTGGCAACAAACCCAACCAGGTCAGATGCTCTGTACTATGGTCAACCAGAACCTTTTCAAATTTGCAACTGCGCAAGGACTCTTCGGACCGTCGATAGCTGATGCATAGTACATCTTGCTCAATTCGCATCGACACCCCAACTTAGGCAAAGCCGCTACCTGCTTGCAAGCACAGGATTACGTGGAGCCTGTGCTGAAAGCTTGGCAAAGTAGAGTTCCGCCACTGCGATTCTGCCAGAAGACTTACTGAAGGCTGCCATCGCGGTTTAAGCGGCGCACTGTCCGGTGTTGAACAAGTATCCCGGCTCCTGCAGGTGAGAACAGCATGTTCTGCGAGCTCATCAAATTCTGAGCCCAATCAGAACACCACCCCTTTACGACATGCACACCCTAAACCCTAAACCCTAACCCCGGGTTCAAGGCAAGAATTGCGAAAGTGTCTGTGTCTCTGTCTCTGTCTGTGTGTCTTGTAGACATATCAAGCAGAGAGGCATCTGGCATCCTCGCACCACCATCGCCATCACCGTCATCTTTCCGCAACAGCTAAAGACACACCAAAATAGCGGTGCAGTCCAGAGCGGATGCGACTCACCTTCAGGAGTGCAGCGAACTTGCATGTGTAGGGGCTGAGATGATGGATCCGCGCATGGTAGCAATGTTAGAGAGCGGATCGACAGCAGCGAATGCCCACACTTACACCCGAACACGGCAAAGGCAGCCGCAAAGCAGGTGGTCTTGGAACCACGATAAGCACATGTTGTTCTTTACAAATAACCGCAGCAACCGATCATGTAATCTGATGTGTGCATCACGGCATGATCGGGGTTGTGGGGCATCAACACGACCAACTGCATGACTTGCAGGATCAACATCGGCAACATCATCAGTGAGTGTTTACGTTGTTTATGTTGCAGCAATGACTGTGCACACCTAAAGAAGAATGAGAAGACCATGGACCATCGCACAATCCGAGAACAATCCGGTGCCAAGCATCACGTCTGGCTACAGCCCTTTCTTAACCAGCCATCTGTCTCGGCCTCCACCTCACTGACGGGCACAACACCGACCTCCACGGCATCGTTGCCCTGTGCATAGGCAAAGTGCTCAGGTAAAGCGAGGAGCCTCTACCTCTGGGCCTCTCAGTCTTGATTGAAGTACTTGTCATAAAACTTGTGCAAAAGTTCCAAGACGACGCTGTCAACTTGCTGGAGCCTCCTCAATCTTCAGCAGCCAGCGCAACAGTCCAGCACCTGAAACATAGCTCAAGGCATTCTCCAGTCCAGAATCAGACTACGACAAGAACGGTGTACGAACACAGCTATATAGCTAGGAGAGCCACGCAATGCTGTAGTAGGATCAGAACTGTGCTGAGTGTTTCCTCAGCTTCGCGTGGATGAGCTTCCGGCTGGCCGCCTCTGCGCTGACCAGCAGGTCTGGCCTCAAGAACAACCAGTGGGCAGGAGGAATGCCTTCTGACCTTTTGCGGCACTCCACAGAGGTTACAGCTCGTGCCAGTCGCTCGGGCTCCAGGCCCCCCCTGTGCAACAGCCTGATCTGAGCCTTGCAATTGGAATTCGCAAGCTGGAAGGGCAATCTCCGCTTGCAAGCAGACCGTCTCTCAAGCGCGCATCAAGGTGACTAGCATGGTCAGGCCCTGAGGGTCAACTCGCAGGTGTGGCCTGTGAACTGCCAGTTGCGAGTCTCGCAGAACCTCGGCACCATGTGCTGTCGGCTTCAAGTCTTCGCAGCAGGCGCACGTGGTGGCAGAGCGGACAGTATCAACTTTGCACATTCAGGTCTGGATTTTAGCCGGCTGCAGCACTTTGGAAGCATGGCTTAGTCCTATGGAGGTGAAAAGACTGACGTGCGTTTGCCTCTCAACATGTGCACCCAGAGCTACGAGTAGTGTCCTTCAAATTTGCGGCTCCGCAGTGGACATCTTCTCGATCTGGCAACAAGGCTCGACTCGAGACTCGACTCAGCCGTCTTATGCGTTCTACACGTGTGTGAGGCGGTTTCCAAGCGAGAAGGCCTGCAGGAACTCGTCGACCATTTGGTTGGCCCAGGGCTCAAACTGCTCCATGCCTCCAGGTGGTGGAGTCTCCTCCTCAGTGTGTTTTCTTTTGGGCCGGAGCTGAGTCAGGAGGGTAGAGTCTGATATTCGGGGCCCAAGGTTCAGCGATCGGGAACCACCGATACCACGAGCAACACAAGAAACACTTGGAAACCACGAGATGCCGTCAGGTTCTTCGAGGGGGGCCGTGATGCCCTGGATAATGAACTAATGAGCAGTGCAGTATACAATCTTCAGTTCAGCAACATTGAAAACACGATGCCGCGGTGCACGCGAAGGCGAAGCAGCGCCCGCCTACCAAGAGCCTCCAACCACAATCCTAGCGGCCGTGGCAAAGCACCCAAGAAAACCACCTCGTGAGCCTCGTGAGGCTTTCTTGCAAGGAATCTGCAGGAACGGTCGAAGGAGCCACCGCAAGGCAGCTGTCATGCCCCCCTTAATCCATGCCTGAGGCGAGCTGTCCAACCTTGCCTCAAGATCCCTACAGTTGTGCATTCCGAAGTGTCGCATTTGACTCGTTAGGATATGCCAATCTCGGAATCCAGGACCCATTGTGAAGAGCACCCCACATAGCCTCAAGCCTCACACCAGGCTCTCCGCGCGACAAGCTTCCACATCCTCAGCCAAAGCCGGGTCGATGGGGTACAGCCGAGGCCAGGCAGAGAGCGAGGCGTTTCGAGCAGCCCACCAAGGTGTAACCCGGGCCGCTAACTTCGCTGCCGCTGGCTCCAGAGGCTTCAGGGTAGAAATGAAGGCTGAAGAGAACAGCATTGGCCGCTTTCGGCGGCCAACTCATGCTTCGGAGGAGCTTGGCAAGTATGGCACGGGAATGGCCTGGAAATCTGCAAAACCCAACAACCCTTCTTCAAGTAAGACCTTTCTGGGCTCTCGGCCACGTCTCGGTAAATCTCCGCGATGGCATCGGCAAAGCGCCGACCAAGCTCCGGGTCCTCCCAGGGCTTTCGGTTAAACAGTTTAGGGTTCCGTTAGGGCTTGGGGCTGCAGGTTTGGACTTGCGGGTTTCGGGCAAAGGCTACCACTATATAACTATAGATGTAGATCCATATCTCTATCCGTCGATATATCTATCTATTTGGCTGTCTATCTGTGTGACTGTCCGTCTCTACCTATCTATCTATCTATCTNNCTCTCTCTCTCTCTACCGGGACAGGAGAGGCAAGGACGAACCCTACCCCTCCGCGCGCGCACGCGCACCCGCGAGCTCTCTCTCTCTCTCTCTCTCTCTCACTCTCTCTCTCTCTCTCTCTCTCTCTCGCTCGATCTGTCTATCTGTCCATCCAGAATATCATCAGAGAGAGAGACTGTGTGTGTGTGAGAGAGAGCGACCAGAAGCCGTCGGGGAAACCGGGTTTCCATCTGGAATACTTGATGTCCTGTCTCCTGCTTTAGGGGATCCCTTCTGAATGCTCCTCAACCCCCCATTCCGTGCCCGGTCCCTGACCAGTTGCTCCCTCAGTCGCGGTGGCATCTCAAACCTTGCTCTGGGACACGGAGTACAGCAGCCACGGCATCACAAAACTGTGGGTTTCAGGACCAAACGCCCTCCTAGTCCAGCAAAGAAGCTGAACTGCAGGAATGCCGAGAAGAACCGACTGGTGGGAGATGGTGGTCACGGTGTCTTCTCCCCAGAAGCCGTGCAAACCTGTGCAGAGGCTCTGCAGGACTCATCAAACTTGTGCCGTCCATGTCAGCATGACCAGGCCAACACGTCTAAGCACGAAACACAAACACGCAAAATAAAGTGCAAGAGCCGCTCAGGAGCAGGGGTCCGCATCTACTTTGATCTGCTTCCCCTTCAAGGACAGGACACGGCAGTCAGCCAGCACTTTGTCCAGCTTGGCACAGAAGTTGTATTTCAGGGCCCTCACGAAGCTTTGGTCCGAGGCAGGCCACACCTGGATACACTTGCACCCCAAAATCGACGCTTTACTTGCTATTCCCCGTTGCTTCTGACACACACACACACACATATATATATATATATACAAAAAAATAACCAATTGAAATGGATTAAGATTCCGACTCCGTGTTCTAGCAAACCTTCCATCCCAAGATTTCTTGCAAACTTCGTGGCCTCCTCCAGGGGCGCCGCGCCCAAATCCAGGTGCAGCTTCTCCGAGACTTTCCCATGCAGATCCACGTGCAGCAGCGGGATGCCTTGCTTGATTGTGAGACTCTCTTCGGTGTAGGTGAAGTATAGAGTCAAAGTATTTCGAGTTGCACCTCTTCTGCAAAGGCCGACAGCATTGAAAACAGTCTGCTGAGGAACATCCCAAGCGCCCGCCCCTGAGCCTGGCCCGCCGCCCCCTACAGTAGTGGCCCAGCGGTGCAGTGCCCGATGCCAGGGCGAGAGGCGGAATTGTGAGGCCAGGAGGTAGTTGGGATCCAGTCGCCTGACGGCGCCAACTGTCACGATCAGGTTGCGGATTCCACTGCCCTGACGACAAACGTCCCTCGCCCAAACTACTCAAAAAACAGCAAAGCCATAAGTACCATAAGCATTCTCGTGCATACCCTTCTTGTCCCAGTCACCCATGGCCGGGGCCCGCCGCACGATTCCAGACCATCACGGATGCCGGCAAGCCCGCACGACACAGCTCTCGTGCCTGGCATAGATCAGACCAGCTTGCGAAACACACATGTGTCAACGCCTGAAACCGTAACGAGCACAAAATGCGAATCACACTACTATATATGTACATCCAGTTAAAGTCGAGGAACCACGATCATGGAGATCTCTGCCGTCCAGCGCTCGCGCTTGTGGTTGCGAGTTCGCTCCTGGGTGTCACCGCCGCCACGGAGGATCTTGATTGAATGAGGTGCGGTGATCAGTACCGGGCCGCCGAGGCAATAAATGTAGTCGAGGCCCTTTTTCAGAATGGGCCCCGAAGGAGGAGCTTTGGGAGCTGGAGCTTTCGGAGTTGCTTTGGGAACTGCCTTGGGCTTGGCCGTGGCTTCCGGGGTCTCCCTCTTTTCGGCTTGAGACATGGTCTGGCCGATGTCTTCTGCACCTTTGCTCATCGTCCGCGCACGGGCTGCGCGTTGGATAGCAACGACGGAGGCCTCCAAGCGCTCGTTGGACACGACCTGCTGCTTTCCTCCGCAACAGTCACTGCAAGTCCGTGTCAGCTGTGGTGGTCCTGGCTCGGCTCCAGTCTCCTCCGCGCTGTGGAACTGAGCCAGGCATTGCATTCGCACCATGGACATCTTGTCCATGATGGCATCTTCCTCCCCATCGGTTTCGACATCGGGACGGTCGAAGGAGCACGGGGCTCCAAAGACCCAAGCAACTAACTCCTCGTACGGAATGCCTTTGCTCTCTTGGAGCCTCATCTTAGCGATGAGCTCCACCAATCCACGACCAAGCTCCGCCTCCTCATCCAGGCTACTGAGCAGTGCTTCTAGCTCCGATGCATCCAGCAGGCTGTCTCCGTTAAGGTCAAACTTCCGGAAAATTTCGACAATCTCTGCCTCCGTTGCCTTCGGCGCTTCCTTGGGTACTTCCGGTGCCGCTAGAGGCACGCTGCTGGGCTGTGTCGCACTCGCATCTGACACCGCTGGAGCCGCTGCTGGCTTTGTCGCGGCGGTTATGTCCGGCTGGCCAGCTTCGGCCGTCCAGCGCACGAAGCTGCGGAAGCAGTCGCCCAGCTCCTTGGTGCCTTCGATGTGCGGTGAGACTAAGAGCACTCGGCCTTTACCGAGAGGCCCACCGAGAAGAGCTGGAGAGCCCTTCATCAACGGTGGATATGTACCCCGCTTCCCGCGAAGTTGCGACTGAAAATCGACAAAGGACTCCACACAGGAGTCCAGGATCTCCAGAAGTGGCCCGTTGGCATAGCGTACGGCGAACGTTGCTGGCAGGGTTTTGCCAGCAATTCGCCTTCCAGCATCTGTTGCACTCAACTCGCAAGCATCAGTCTTGCCACGATCCCAGTGGTCAATGTCCTTCGAGATGCCAGTGCAAGACTATTAGAAGCGCAGGATCTTCCGCTAGCAACAGGCTCATCTGCTACTGCCACGCTGGGCGCTTAACTCCCGTCCAGAACATTCACGGGAAGGAGGTCGTAGCCCCACGAGGTGCCGAGGTATGCCCCTGCGCAAATGCCGACGTAGCCACCGCCAGCCTCCGTGGCTCGCGGGAACGAACAATAGAGACAGGGGGTGTGCATAAGGATTATACGTGTATGGCAATAAAGACCCAGGGGTCTTTGCCAAACTGATTTGTCTTCGGGACACTAAACATGGAGACCTGGGCAAGACATGATACCTCAAGTCTAGAGACAGCACCCCGAAGGTGTGCTTGGGCAAACTTCCCAGATCACTTTCCGAAGTGCTCCGGAGGCCTTCGAATCTGCAATGCAATCATACATCCATTAGAATGCTCTGCTTTCATGTCTGCCGAGTCTGCGTGGTGGAGAGGGGAGCGGAGGTACAAGGCTCAGCCCCGAACTTGGACCCGAACATGTCTAGTGCCTTGACGAAGTCTCGAATGCGTTCGCCACCGAGATCGCCCAATGCTGCCTTTGAAGGAGAGTATGGCATTATGGGGCAGACTCTTGGAAGATTTTGGAAGTCACCTGTTTCGATCTGTTTCGCAGCTCTTGGCCTGGAAAAAGTCTGTGTGAGCATCTTCGGTTTGCCAGTAGAGACGACTTCTGGCGTGCGAGTTGTCCGATCGTGCTTCAGGCTTCGGGAGATTCAGGGCTCCACATAGGTCTTTGTGCTCTGGGACCGCACTATTACCCCGGAAGGGCGGAGATCAAGACCCTTGGAGCTTGCAGGTAAGGGCCTAAGGGTCTAAGGGTGTCCAGGAAGAACCCATCGTTTAGTGTACCTTTTCGATCGAAGCGGGCTGGGACATGACGGCTTCAGGCTGGGCTCCTTTGCACGTGAAGCCTGACGCTATTGCCTGTCGAAGTGCAACCCTTCTCCTGAAATCATCTGAAGTGTTTACTCTCCGCAGGGCTGATGGTCAAGAATTCGTGCACACAGCAGGGCGGACTGTCTTGACTTGGAGCTGAGAGGCAGCAAAGTTCGGTGCATATCCACCGGGAACAATGAAGACGTCGTAAGAGCTCGTCAGCAACGCACCCTGGCGAAATAGCTGCGCATCACTGCAGCATCTTCCTTCAAGGCTCTTCACACATCTTTTTCTGCGGCGACACTGCCTGCCTTGCGCACTTCTTCGGGAGTCAGCCGCACGAATGACCAGCCGGCCTGACAGGGCATTCTGTGGCTTCTATGGCTTTTGACGGTGCTGGTATTGATGGGGCAGGCGAGCGTTCTCAGTTTTGTCAAACTATGACGTTTTCCTCCCTCTCACGCATCCGGCACCCTGTAACACAGGATCGAAGCTTGCATGGTTATGCGGTTCTGCGGTATGCCGAAGCTCATGTTGGAAATGTGTCAGCAGCCCTAGCTTTCTGCAATCGCCTAGGGTCCGTGGATCGGGCAAAGACGGTAATTTCCCTACCTAAGTAGAGCGGATGTTGATTGACGAGAAGACGGAGATGTGAAGCAACATTCCACGACTGCTGCGTATTTCCTCCAAGAGTGTGGCATGATCGAGGTCTTCGTGCATCTGCAAGGAAAACCCGAATGATCTAAATGGCTCTGAGCACTGACATGGCATAGAATTGAAAGCTCATGCTTCCTACAGTAGCTAACACTGGCCGGACAGCTTTAGCAGAATTTAGCAGCATCAGAACCTGACCAAATGCACCGAACTTCCTTATCCCTACGCAGGTTGAACAAAACAGTAAATGCTTCTCAAGTCCGACCATGATGCCGCTTCTATCTTTTTCTTAGTCTCTATAGAAACCACCAAGGATGAATCATATCTACTTCCGACCATCTCCAAGTCTCCAAGTGTTCCACAACGCCATCTCATCAAAAACATCAGACCTGGTGTGTCGAGAGCTGGAGGCAGAGACCCCGAATGAAAGACGGAAGTGGACCACACTGGCAATTTCTTTTGTACGACCAGATAGCAAACTTGCCTCTTTCTGCAAACGGTCGCGGAGGCTTGGCTTCGGATATCCGGGCTTTGATCCGAACCTTGGATAGTTGAGGCAGCTGCAGCCTGCCTGGAGCTTGGTCGATCTTTAGGGTCTCTGGTCCAGGAGCTCAAAGCACTTGGGTCCGACTCTCCCCTTACTTTTGATCGCTCGTGCCTGGCAAGATTGAATCCGAGAGTTACAAGAAGTGCAAGTGCAGGCTGCATGAGACAGCTCAGGCATGAGTCCCTCATATCAAGTCTCGCTCTCCGGCATGTGTAGCTGTAGAGTATAGCCGTTACTCTCCAGGCAATTTCTGTGCACAATACGTCTTCTGCGTCTTCCAAGGAGCTTCTTCGGATCGGCAATCCATGCCACACGCAGCGTCGCTGGGCTGTCACTGGCCGGTGCTGGGCCCGGGCCCCGCAATGCCATGGCAAGGTGTCATCAACATTGGGTTTTGGGGCTCCTTTAAGGGTTCTTTTGAGGGTTCTATAGGAGTTTATAGAAGTTTACCAACAATTTGATTGGAATGGGGTTTGGGTTGGTTTGGGTTTAGGGTTCGGTTAGGGTCTGTCAGTGTGTAGCGCATTGGAGGTTTAGATTCAGTTTGCCTGCAGATAGTCACTACGACGCCATGACTGGGCTCATGTGGTGAAGTCGCCGGGCGCATATTACCAAGCAGCGCCGCCGAAAAAGCACAAACCAACAGTTTCCATACAGTACATTCCACAGCAACCTGCGCCCAGAGCAGGAAAACCCGAAAATCACTCGCTCGGGAGATGAAATGCTCCCACAGGCAAGGTGCAGAGCTAGGGCCACAGCTCTGTGTCGAACGTGGCGAAAATTGTTTGCTGGCGCTTCTTCCCTGAGTCGTCGGAGCTGAGGCTTCTTGTCCATGCTTCCAGCAAGTTCAGCTCTATCGAAGGTAACAATGAACATGACTCCATGCAGCTCGAAATGCCGTGCTTCGTAGACAGGACACTGGGAACGTGCAGATGCCCAATGCATGCGCCCCATCCCTCAAAGCTTCCAGCCAGCTGTAGCTAGCTGTCGTGCTACTACATAGAACCAAAGCCCATGGGTGAAAAGCTGGGACTGAATTTGCGAAGCAGCAGCTGGCTTCTTTCTTCTTTCGTGGAGGATCCACCGGGCTCCACAGTGGCCGCAGCCTTAGCAGAATGAGCACGCGGGAACTAAGATGAATGAAGCAAAACGCCCAACTGTGCAGGGGCCTCCGAAGCTTCACAAGCCAACCAGCTATACTACAGCATTGCTCATGACTGAAACTGTTGCGCTGCATTGACTACCCATACCCACATGCCTCGTCAGGGGTAAAGCTACGTTGACGGAGTTTAGGCTATCTCAGGCGTTCAGGAGGTTGGGGCTTCGATTGCAGTTTCCGAGCTTTCGGATTCAAGGACAGTTCGGCTCTGCAGGCAGTGGGAGCGCACACGCACGAACTGGACGGACCGGATCAGTGACTCTGCTTCTCTAGGATCTGTGCCCCGTTTTGCTACGAGTAAGACGTAAAGTTGGTTACACATCTGAATCTAGATCCTGAAGCAACCTGTCTTGTCGTCTCTATGCCACCAAAGAGCTTCAGAGCTTCATACTCCGTGCCCGCCACCAGCATCCGCGTCTGCACCCAACCTTCAAACTCCAGCTTCGGCTGTCACGAAGGTGCCGCAATGTGTAACTATTACTGCAGGATTACAATATAGGTTTGGGGAGTAGTATTGGTATATAGTCAATATTGTAATAGAATTAAATATAAACGAACATTAATACAAATGTGTGATATTTGCACGGACCATGAAGGAAAGGCTATTGAGCAGTCGCACCCCTACAGTAGGTTCGGGGTCACCAACTGGATCTCAAGCTTCTTTATCGTGACCTGGTAGCTCCTTACTGCACGTGTTGAAATTAGAGCGAAGCTCAGGACCTCAGGGCTGCATCACAACTTGTTGGTCCTCTCGACTGCCGCAGGGCTATCCTCACTCAGGAACCATGGCTTGATGATGAAATGTAGAAGCAACGCTGAAGGCGAGACGCTATCAATGAGAATAGTAAAAAGCATGGGCACTAGTGTTATTAATACTCATATTTGTAATATTAGTAATAACAGTAACACTAGTAATAGTAGTAAGTAAGAACAACAATAATAACAATAATAATAATAGCAATGATAACAAATACCAATTTACTAGTAAAACATAATAATGATGACTCTTTCCCTCTCGAGGCATGAGCGGTGTCTCGTCTAGTTCCAATCATAAAGAGGGGCTCAGGGCATGCTACCCTTGTGCTGCTATCTTGGCACCGAAGCCGCTTGCACTTCAAGCCCGGCAGGAGATCGGACAGTGCCGCAGGCGCTACACCGCTTGAAGCCGGGAGCCCCGGAGACCCAGCGCTCCCAAGGTTTAAGCCAGAATGCCCAGTAAACTTCCCTTCTTGAAACCCCAAGTCTGAAGGGGCCTTCCATGATCTGAACCCAGTTGTCTTCTGCGGAATGCAGCTGGTCGACCTCCACCTTGTCCTCACGAGGGTCCGCCCCGTGTTGGGGGGAGATTCTTCTCTGAGCTGTCCACTAGCTACTGTAGTATATAAGAGGCATATAAGTTGCGAAAAGTTATAGGTTTCAGGCCCACTGTCATTTCCCATGCCATCATCATCATCATCATCATCACCATCATCATCATCATGAATCATTGTCAGTTAGCGATCGCTGCCACCGCCATCACCACGACCGTCGCTGCGAGTGCCACCGCAATGCACATAATGCATCATCCCCAACATCATCAGAATCACAACTGTTCCTCCTCATCACCCATTGACAGTGGAGGCGTAAAGTTGAGCGACGGATTGCAGCTCCAAGGATGAGCAAACAAGACTGGCCCAACTTCATGCTTCTGGCTTGGAGCTTCGGTGCTTGGCTGAGGTGGAGGTTCGGAATCTTGTCAGCCAGGCCTTGCAAAAAAGAAAGCTCTCGACAGTCTCTGGGGTTTGCTACTGTAGGGCCTTGTACAGCATTTTTCAGCTGCAAGCCTTCGTCAACTCGAGCGGGGGTTCAAGGAAGCTTCAGGTCCAAGGAGTGCTTCCGAAGCTATAAACTCTAAGATTTGAAACCCCAAGCTCTGAGCCCCTGAACCGAGAGCCGAGACTCTAAGCGAACCCCCCAAGCAGCCTCAAACCCCAAAACCGGCCTCGAGCGGCTTTCGGCCCTTGGAGGTACGTGAAGGCTCTTCGAAGACTGGCCAGGCCTCTCTGCATCTGAAAGGTGCTTGACAGGAAGGGGCCCAAACACGCTCAGCGCCTGTTTGGGAATTGGGAGCATTATGAGGCTTTGATACGGTTTTACAATGTTTTGCAGCCCCCCGAGCCAGGGCTAATGTTCAGGGTTTACAGGTCCTAGATGGGCTTCGTGAGAGAGGGTTGGGTTTAGCGTTTAACTTCGTGTCATCGAAAACCATTGTTTAGCTTGGCTATCAAAGCTGATTGCTGATAGTCTCATTATTGTGTATTGTTACTGGCACTGTGCCCCCCCAGCCCTGAACCCCCTGGTTGCGTGCACTCAACATTGCTTCACGGTGTTGTTCAATCCCTCCCACGGCCTTGACGCCTTTGGGCAGCTGGACTTTCCAGGCAGGCCGCATGCGCATTGCCTCGCAAGTCTATCAACCAAGGCCCTTTTTGAGGTTTGTACAGAGGTCTTACGGTTGAAAGGGTTCTATCACTTCACTATACCGCAGTTCAAGCTACATTCTGAACCCCAGGGCCTTTAATCCGGTGCAACGCTCATCCCAGAACCTGGACGCGCGGAGGAGCGCGCAGCCATGCGCAGCCCTCCCGAATGCGAAACCTATGGAGTCACCGTCGTAATAACCGTCCATCCGCACGACGAATGTTCAGCTCAGCAAAGCTCGTGATTTGATCAGGAATTGCCGACCACCAGTAACCAGTCACAGTAGTCAGTAGCCGCATGACATCCTGAAAGAGGAAGGATTATGCTCTGCACGAATCTGGCCCATCTTCCCAGTAGGCCTCGCCAAGACCACGCACAGCTCTCGGCTCCTCCTCCCCCTCCTTGGGGCTTGGTCGGACGTGCACCATCTACTGTTTTTTGTGCCTACAGTGTCTTGTCCATGGTTTCGCTCTAGAACTCCGCAGACCTCTTCTGAATCATCGGGGCAGTTGAACTGGGGTAGTTAGACTCTGATTGTCCCACTGATTGTCCCAAGTGGGGTCGACGGGAATCTTCAGAACTCATGCCGTCTGCTCGCGAGGTACAGTTCTACCGCCAAGAGATGATGGCGACCAGTATCGCAACTACCCTCGCTAGTGTCGGCGCTGCGCTATGAGGATGAGGATGATGATGATGATGGCGATGATGACGATGATCGTATCAAACTATGCTTAGGGTGACGACGGCTGCCGGATGCTGATGGCCTAACCAGGAAACCAGAAGACAACGACCATGACCACCGGATGCCAATGATCTGACCTAAACCAATGAAGTCGAGCTAAGCCCGAGCAGAAATGTGAACACTCACGCCCTCAACCCCAAAAGGGCTGTCGAGCCTGCACCGATGGGCATGTCTGAAAGAGCCGCTGCCCTAAGTTCACGTTGATCTCTCCTGACCGACAATGCACATGCTCCTTTCCGGGATTTAGACGGGTTTGAGTGTTTGGGGGCGATTCTGAGGATTCGTAACCACAAGGCCAAGGCACATTTTCGACGACTTCTGCTCCGATGAACCATGATTCGATAGAGAAGCAACAGAGAGTGCCGAAAAGCTTGCACCACTCTGCTAAACAAGACCTATCATGCGGTGTCGATCCCTATCTCATCAGCTGGATTCGGTGGAGGTCCCACGATTCGGTGAGTCAGCTGCTTACTTTAAGATTGGAACGCACTAGTGACAAAGGCTGGCAGAGGTGTACCAAGGTCATTGCAAGGATTGACTTTCAAAGACACCTCACTTCTGGCTGACAGGCTTTCGGATGTCGTGCCTTCATCGCCTGAAGCCAACACCATGGCCAGCGTCATGTCCTCGTCAAGATTTGCAGACACCTTCATAGTGCTCTTTGTTTGTCTGGCAGTCCGTTCGGCGGTATGGCGGCACAAATTCACAGCATTTCTAAGGACCGACAACTTTGTGATAAGAACCAATCCTGGAGAAGGATGCAAGCAACAACCAGACCAATGTGCATATGCCGTTATAAATAAACAATTGTAAATAAACATACATAAGGTTGAAAAAACATTATATGCAAACACACATATATACACGTATTTCTATGCGGGTGTGTGTGTGTGTATGTATATATATATACATATACATATATACACACACACACACGCGCACTCTCTGCCTGCCTGCCTGGCTAAATGGCTGGCTGCCCGTTTGTCCGTGTGTCCGTGTGTGTGTGTGTGTTCGTACACACACACACATATATACATACATATATACACACACATACATACATATATATTATCTATATATCTGGCGTTTGCCAAATCTTGGGAGAAAAGAAACACCGCCCTCGCCGCTGCCATGTCCGCTCTCTCCTCTGCGAGGTCGATGGTAAAAGCCTGGAACGAATGGCCGGGGCCAAGTCGATCAAACGACACAGGATCTAAACTAACAAATTTAACATGTGTGTATATATATATACATATACACAAACACATACACATACACATATACATATGTGTGCAGGTGTATGTATATATATATATATTATGGCTAAACACCAGAAGGAGAACAATACCTATAACAGTAACAACGTTGGTTTCTGAATACTAACTACTAATGAATAAGGACATCATGAAATATTAGCAGTCGCGATGATTGAACCAAGCTGCAATGATCGTCATAATTATACAACAGTAAGTAGAATACCATTGCTGGCCATGACTGAAAACGGTGATGACATGATGCCAACTTAAATCCCAACTGAGCATCTAGTTACAATACCAGTAAGACTAGTAGTAGCAGTAGCAGCAGCAGCAGCAGCAGCAGCAGCAGGAGGAGTAGTAGTAGTAGTAGTAGTAGTAGAGGTAGTAGTAGTAGTAGAGGTAGTAGTAGTAGTAGTAGTAGTAGCAGTAGTAGTAGTAGTAGTAGTAGTAGTAGTAGTAGTGGTAGTAGCAAGAGTAGTAGTCGTCGCCGTCGTAGTAGTAGTAGTAGCAGAAGCAGTAGCAGTAGCAGTAGCAGCAGTAGTAGTCGTGTAGTAGTAGTAGTAGTAGTAGTAGTAGTATTAGCAGTAGTAGCAGTAGCAGCAGTAGCAGTAGCAGTAGCAGTAGCAGTAGCAGTAGCAGTAGCAGTAGCAGTAGCAGTAGCAGTAGCAGTAGCAGCAGTAGTAGTCGCGTAGTCGCGTCGTAGTAGTAGTAGTAGTAGTAGTAGAAGTAAAGTAAAGTAAAGGAATGGAATGGAATGTAATGTAATGTAATAAGAACGTTCATTGTCAACTGGCTTTCCTCGTCAATGGCACGATCGGTGTTGTTACTGGTTTGTGTCTTTTGTCGCGAAGGCCATTGACCGCAGCATTGGTGCCACGTTCGCTCTTCAAGATTCGAGTGATTGCTTCAATGTGCTTACGACGGCTGCACGCTGCCACTGGCAGTCGCATGTAGGGTAACTAGTGTCACCAAGAATGTCAAGGTCGCAGCAAGCATTCTCGGTATCCATCTATTCGATCTAGGCAGGTGCTGCTGAAACATTCAAAATCCTCTAAACGGACTGAGAGACGGAGACGGCCCATCAAACCCGTAAGTGCAGGCGAGCGGTAGTGTGTGATAACGTTTACTTGCCAGTCACTCACGAACATGGTACATGGACTTTAATAACTGTACACTTTTGCATGGCCGCCTATATTGCATGCGATAGTAGCTGATATAAGCCAAGGTCGTGTACATACATGTAATGATTGCGTACATAATGACGCATTTCGAGCCCTCGACCTAACACTCCGGCAAAGGCGAGGCCACAAGATCAAAACCGCTTGAAAAGGCAGCCATTACGCACGGAGTCAGTTCTGAAGCCCTCGGTGGTAGATGCACATAATGCTCTGTTGGTGTGCCTGCCCCATCGGCGCCGCCAAGGATCCGTTCAGGGAGAAGGAGAGATTGGCAGTTCCATCCTGTGTTCCGGGGTCAGGCCTTCTGGGTTTCAGGTGTCCAAGGGGAGAGCTTTGCACACACAAGCCCTGAAAGTTGCCATCTTCTCTAGGAAGTCAACTGGTGGTGCGTGTGACAGAATCCCCGATGCTTGAGACAATAGAAGGACCCATGCCATTGACGCCTCAGCAGTTCCGCAACAGTATGGCTGGTCTGACCACCACTCATGGGGGCCAAGCAGGAGAAATCGTGGTCAGGCCGCGCCAGCTGAGAGCAGCAAGAAAAAGAGAGCAAAAGAAAAGCCAGAGAGAGAGAGAGAGAGAGAGAGAGAGAGAGAGAAAGAGCGTTGTCGTCGTCGTCTGATGTCGCTTTCTTCGTCGTTCATCGTCCCGGCTGATCTCATGATCATTATAAACTTAGATTCCGGTTCTTCAACGTCGCTGGGAGTGGCAAATTCGCCTTGGCATCAAAGAGGACGCCGATGACGTCGCCCTCCTTCCAGGCCGCGCCGAAGGACCTGCACTCTGCTCTCAAGCTTGGCTGCCAGTCTTCTGCCCTCGTGCCCTCGGGGCTTCATTACAGTTACACTGATTTTACCACTAAACATGATTATTCCTGGGCCCCAGACTCACCATATTTCCACTGACCCTCCTCACTGAACTCTTCCTCTTCGTCCTTGTCATCCTTGCAGTGCTGCAGCGTTCTGGGCAACTGGCCCTACCAAACCGGCCTCTTCTAGAGTCTAGGCAGGGCCACGGAATCAAAACCTGAAACGGGTCTGCGCAGGAAGGTCCTCCCCCCCGTCTTCGCCTGGCCAGGTGTGCCGCGACTTCCAAGAAGCAGAAAGTGAGCACCCTACGACTGCTTTGCAAAGAAGGCTTTGCCTTCATCCTCCTTCTCACCTTCCTCCTCTCCCTCTTCTCCGTCGGCCTATCGACAAGGGGAAGTCTGGTGCAGGATGATGCTGCAGGACTACATGTAACACTTTCAGAAAAACTCAGTGTTTCTCCACTCGAAGCTCCAACTCCTTCTGGCCTTCTCTTCGCCGTCTTCCTCGCCTGGCTTCTCTTCCTTTGCCTCTTCTGCTTCTGCTTCGCCCTCTTCGGCATCTCCTTCTCCGTTCTCGTCCTCAAGCAAAGCATGTAATCGTCTGTGCCCTTGAGCCTCTTGAAAACCCAAACACTGCCGCGCCTCCTCGCCATCTCCCTCTGCCGCTTCCTCCTCGGCTTCCTCGGCTCTGCCGGCTGCAGCCCCGGCTTCCTCCTCTCCTTCCTCCTCTCCTTCCTTCTCGTTCTCGGCCCCCTCACCTTCACCCTCTTTGGCCCCATCGCCTTCCTCGCCCTCTTTCTTCTCCTAGCAGCAACATCGTACAGCACATCGAGTCGTGAGCATGTCTGCCCGTCATCCCTTTCCATAGGTTCGCACCTAGCTTTACATCACTTTTTGATCTGGATGCGGGCAGCACGACGAGTCATGAGTAACCGGAGGATCAAAGCTGCTCGTAGGTGCATACCTGCCGGTGAAGTCGCACAAGTCCTCAATGTGCCAGCAGATCTAGCACAAGTGCCTCAAATGTCGGGCTGTCCAGCTGCAATTACCAGGTCGACGTCCTAGACTGAGACTTAAAAGGCTGCCTCCATCCCCAGTCCGCCCGAGCCAATGACTTTCTGACTTCCCACAACCAAGTCCGTTGCACTCCAGCCAAGATCGAAGATGCAGGCCAGCAGGCCTTTAGGAACTTCTAAGTCGAGGTGACCCACTTTGAAGAGCAGTCCATGGCTGAGCTTTTGCTGACCCTCTATGTCGCCCCTGCTGTACATCTCCAGAACACGAGGCGACCGGAAGCAACATAACCTCCCAGGAGTTCACAATGTGGTGGAACACGGGATACTAGCGTGCTGTGGGAAATGGGTGGTGGGTCTTGGGAAGAGGCTGAGCAGCGTCAGCAACACAGCAAGTGCGGGCCAAGTGAATGCAGGTGAGGTGTAAACAACTAAAAGTTGTATAACTTAATCTCACATGCCTATTGCGACAAAAGGAAACTGCTGGAATTCTGGCAAGTTGCCTCCGGAGTGTAAGTTGCAAGCCTCCAAAAGCTGAGAGCTGACTGACTGGCTTTCCCGTTCTCTGGCTGGGCGATGGCGATCACTGCCCTCCGAGAGCTCCCAAGTCTGTGCAACGGACTCCAAGAGATGCCGGAAACCGTCCCAGGCTCTCAGGAAATAGCTGCGGGCAGCCGAGAGCCCCAGCCAACTCAACGCGGCTACCCGCGCTGGCCAGCCGTTGCTCCCTCCCAACAGCTTGCCGTAAAGCTTCTGCGAAAGCTCCTGGTCCTGACGTGTGCCGATGCCGAACTGAAGCAAATACGCTTGGTCGAAAATTGCACGTGCATCGCCCCGCTCTGCGGCCAGTGCCGTCCAGCGAAATGCTTCTGCCTGAAGCTCTGCTACACCTGCAGCCGTGTGTCCGTCCATCCCACGCGAAACAAGCAGGTCGGCCTGCTTCAGCAACCGGACGGACAGCTCGGTCATGGACGGCGCGTGTCCTGCGGCTGCGGCACGCCGATAGTAAGTGAGGGCAGAAGGTGATGAAGCCAGTGCCGAGATTTGGCTTTGACTCCATCGTCCCCAAAACGATGCGTGTTTGCGAGATGTCTGATCCCACAGCCATGCCACGTTCAAATGTGCCATCACAAATCCAGCATCACTGAGGAGGGCGAAACGCAGACGGGCACCAAGGACATCTCCCAGAACATAAGCACGACGAGCGTGGGCAAACAGCAAGTGTGCGCTGGGATGAGCGGCATGGATCACCTCGGCCAGCTCGCGATATGCGACTGCGCATTGAGTGTTCCTTTCGGGAACGGAAGGATCTGCACCCTGGGCAATCAACAAACCTGCATTGAGCTTGGGCACGAGGCGGCCGTTTGCCGCAGCCAACTTGTAGTATACCAGGGCTGCAGCCTTGTCTGGGCCTCCGGGAGGGTACACCCCCTCCATGTTTCCGTGGGAGTAGCCCATGTAGCTGTGCGCCAGGATCAGCTGCGCGTTGGAGTTCCCGAAATCTGCTGCTGCCTTGAGAAACTGCCCTGCCTGAAGCGGATCCTTGCCCTGGCCGATGCCCAGTCGGAACTTGAAGTGGAGCGCCATGAAAGCCAAGGGGGCAGCAGAGGAGTTGCCCACCATGTCCAGGAAAGGTGCAGCCATCCCAACCTTGTCATCGCGGAGGTAACTGAGGGCTGCATGCCAGGCTGACCACACATCGCCCTCCTTGGCGGCTTGGGTCCAGTAGCTTTCCGCTAGTGTCTTGTTCTGAACCAACCTCGCTTCCGTGTGGCCTTGGAAGTGTAGGGCTGCCATCTCTCGCATGCTTTGAGGCTGCTGCATCACCTCAGCTCCATGCTTCACCGCGTCAACATACTCCTTGCTCTGCTGCCAGTCCTCGTCGCTAGGTACACGCCGCTCCCGGTGCCGCCACACCTTCCACGTCAGAGCAGCCTTGTCCAGCAAAGGCTCCTCGTTTGCAGAAGCATCCCTGGCCGGGGTCACCAAAGTGCCAAGCGCGCGGCAGGCGCGCTCCGAGGCCACAGCATCCTTGCCTCCAAGGAGGCCGTGGAGGTCCGGGATGCGATGCAGCAGTGACTTGTCGTGCACATCGGCTTGTGACCGTGTCCAGGAGAGAGGGACATCGGTCAGCCCACGGCGAACGAGAGATGCAAACACCACGCTGCCCAGAGGCTCTTTGCGCTCTGCTGCCTCCCAGAAGGCAGCCCCGACATGATCGAAGACCTGGCAGCGGCTTCAGCAACTCTGTGGCGGACAGTAATCAACTTAAGGGACCTCTTTTCAACATTTTTTCGCCTTTGCTACGGTAACCAGGACGATGTCTCAAGCATGTTCGTTTCGACAGAGCGACCCACCTCTTTCTTGATCATTCCTTGCCTCCGCTTCGCCACCTCTTTCTTGGGCTCTGAGAGGAGGGCTTCCGGGTTCGTCACCACCACCGCAGGCCCCGCCACCACTTGAAGCTCTAGGTCATCCACCTGGGGCTTTCGGCATGCGCAGGTTCGTTCTAGATCGGCGCGAAGTCGCAAAAACAGTGGAATTTATGTATCCTGCGAGAAATGAGCTCCCCAACAAGGAGCTCATCTCAAAGGCTCTATGGATATCCACGAAACCCACTGCGCCCCACCTCCGGGCTGCCCACGGACAGCAGGAGCCCGAGTAGTGTGAAGGCCCAGGGATCCTCCAGGGATTCATCTCGGCCCAAGGAGGCTTTCAGCAAAGCAAGAGTCCGCAGCATGGAGGGGGCCTCTACATATAAGGTTTCAATGTGTGTCAAGGGGTCGAGTGCACGAGATTTTCTCCATTTCGCTCTTAGGGTTGCAGAGTGAAGCGCCTTGAGTAGGCTGGAGGTGCAGGTTGCAATAAGTAGTGATCAGGGACACTCTGCCCACCAACTCCGTGCAACCCCAGCAAACAGTAAGCCCTGAATGCCCCGCCAAAACCCCAATACACTGCTTCATGCTTGGCCTGTTCCTGCAAACCCAGGTCCTGATGGCCCCTTCGAGACGACAGGGCCTTGGCAAGATGTGTCCGGGCCACCGATGCATCACGCGGGAAGCCTCGACGCAAGAGTCAAGCTAAACAGGCTGAAGAGTCAGAGTTAGAAAGCTAGTTGAGTCTGGTAGCATACCGTGCGATGACGCTTGTAACATGCTTCTGTTATTGAATGCTGGCAGTTGCTTGTAGTATTCTGAGGTTCACGCTTTCTACCCTTAACTGGCAACTCTTATCGCCATAAGAGTACGGCAAAACCTTCAAAGCATTGGACAATTGCGAACGGCATGGCCCTCGTCCAAGGCTTCTCTTCCGTGAACCTGCTCTTCTTCTGCACCCTTCAACCCTACCGAGATAGAACTCACAGCTGTCAAGCCACCTCCTGGCAGCTGCAGCTGCCCCTTCGAATCCGGCACCCCAAAGAAGTTGAGCATGGCCAGGTAGCCGTGGAAGCCGGAAGCCTCCAAGTCCTGGGCAAGGAAGTTTGAGGAAGGGGTGAAGACTCAAAGCTACTCCAGTGCCGAAAACAACAACAGCAATATGTTGAATTTGTTTTGATACTATAGTTACTAGTCGACGAACGTAGATAGCGTGAAGCAGCGGCAGTGACAGGTGAAGCTTTCGGGCCTCGGGGTTGGGCGGGAATGTAGTTTCTAGACTCTAGACCCAACTGTTGCGGATGTATGTTGGTCAGGAGGTTGGTCACGAGGCTGAGGGCAGAAAAACGACGAAGAGAATCGTGGCGAAGGCCACGAATGCAAAGCTTGCCCCAGAATAAAAGAAGCTAAGTCGCATGCTTCAGGGACGCAAAGTCATGGCCTCAGGTTGGCAGACACTCTCTGCCTGATCGTAGAGAAACCCGTTGGGACAACATCGTGATACCGAAAATGCAAACGTTCATCTGAGGTATGCTGCCAATTTCTGAATTGCCTTCTTTTCCAATCACCGGCCGAAGTTCATGCGAAACAATAGATGTTGCGATGCCCAGTGCGACGACGGCCGCTGCTATCGCTGCTACTGGTGCTTCTTCTAGGGCAACGACGATGTCGACCACGACCGACAACGATCACAGCAGACAGGATCCGTCATGCCCAGAGGGACGCCGGCCTCCTTTTGCATCTGCCCCAGGTCGCACGAGATCCTCGAGTAGCCTCTCAACCTCCGAAGGCTCCAGGGCCAGGGTCCAGTGTTCAGGGTTCGGATCAGGCATTGAAGTGAAGAATGCAATGCCCGGGCGAAAGACATGCATCCAAACTGTCTCACGGTGCTCAAATTTGGGGATCTTCCAGCTCGGAATGGTGAGCCCTGAATAGCTTTAAACGTGATTTCAGTTCTGCGGCCGGCCTTCTGAATGGCATCCGCGACGGATGCTCGGCAAATCCAACACCCCACCAAGAGAAGCCAGTGCCAACATTTCATCGCACATAGACCAGCTTGTAGCCGACGGCTTGTTTTCGGGTAGGAGTTAAACTTTGAAGCTGTGTTACTAACAGGATGTAACAGATTGTTTGAGAAACGATGACTACAGTTCGGGCTGTAAAGTGCGGCGCATGCATCCGCGCATGGATGTGTTGTCTTTGAGCCAAAATACCATGCAAAGGCTGCTTGCGGGCGTGGAGTCAAATTCGGACCATGCTCGGACATTGAAGCCCACAAGGGGCACATGTCATATGAGTCGGGGCGGGGGGAGCATTAAGTTCACAAAGACATAAATCCCAAACGCAGCCTCATCCGCCCCATCCTCCTCGTCCTGCGGATGCTGCATCATGGACAACAGGGCCGTACAGGGCCCTGCTGCGGCTTCTAAATTCAGGCAATCAAAGCACATACTGAGAGAACTCAAACCTCTCCAGAAGTTCCGTGAGGCCCCGGAAGCAAAGCCCTGTCCGACTTCTTCTTGCTCTTCTTCCTTGGAGGGGCTCCTTCTCCTGCAGGGTGGAGCCCAGACGAAGCAGGTGCCCCGAGAAGCCGGAGAGGCTCAAAAGAAGCCCCCTTCTTAGGCTGCCAATCGCACATGCCACCCACTCTCAATCTGCCGGCAAGTGGCCCAGGTCCAGCTTCACCTCGATTTGTCTGGGGTT